AGCACTAGTTGATCAAGTCATCATCATGATTGAGATTGCCACCATCGTTACTACGTATTATTGTTCTTATTTGAGCTTTGTTACTACGCACATGCCTGGAATCTTTGGATTTTTGGGTTCACATTGACTTTCACCTCGGCGGCCTTGGGATTTCCCGAGTGTCAGGTGAAACTCATGAGTTTTGGCCGTCCGGAAAGAAGAGTTGGTGCTGCGAGAACTACCAAAAGGGTTGCGGCAACTATGATTGTCACTTGGCTCTGGCTATGGATCAAAACTACCAAACTGTTGCCAGTTCTGGATGTTCTTCCGTGCAAGTATGGTACAAAACCAGAGGTTCGTGATGTTCTTGGCGGCTTCACATGGCCCATCCATCATCCATCATCCAACTGAACATTGGTATATTCAAAAACCATGGGAACATTTAACTTACTGGTGCTAAACGTAGGGAACGAGGGAATTATCCATAATCACTAGTAAGCACCAATTCCCATTCCCCCATTCCCTACTAAGCACCAATAAGTTAAAGAATCTCCATATTGAAACGTTTAAAGAACACGTGGCACATGTTGTGCTTTTGTGAAGCGTGCCGTAACCTGAGGTGACTACATGACGGAGAAGATGGACGACCACTGGAGCTATGCCAAGAGGGCCTACTGCTGCATCAAGGAGCAGAAAGGATGTGCAGGTTGGGACGTGATGGCGGGGAATGCGTGATTAAGATTAAGAGTGATTTATAATAGTGACTAATAGTGACTTTAATAGTGATTAATAGTGATTAATAATGACAAATAGTGTTTGATAGCCTTTAATCATGATTCATAGTGTTTGATAGTGATTAATATGCGTATTGATCAAAAGTGGAGTCACCACTTCAGACTCAACGTTGAGTCCATCCAGACTGACCCTGACGAGCCACAGGTTCTGCTTCGTCTCATCATTTCGACTGTGCGGAAGATTTCGGAGATTGGCAGAGCAAGTGGACGGACGAGCCTTGGGTTTTTTCGGCCATGAATTCTGTGCAGAGCAGAAATCGGACCTTGGAGTTTCAACCAGGTGATCTAGGAATTGAGTTGGATAGAATTTCTCTTAGAATCAGAAGCAGTTTATTTTCAATATCCGTGGATAGTCCGGGCTTTTCTTTCTGAAACGTTTTTCTGTCAAAGTTTGGGGCTTCACCGTGACCAGCTCAACGCCTGGTTTTTTTCCCAGGAAAAGAAGTCCTGGTGCTGCGAAACTCATGCGCCTGGGGAAGAAATGATGGATGAACCCACCAAGATTTGCAATAGATTTGCATAAAGAACCTCAGTGAGGCTCCGCATTTTATATACATTACATTAATGTATACCACGTATAAAATACCTTACATTAATGTATACTTTTACGCACATGATACATGTGACTTCTATATATGTAAATGTAGATGTGCGTGTATATCGCCATAAATGTCGGTGATGCAATGTAACATCCATGGTTTTTCACAAAATTGTCTCTCTAAAAAAAATGCCATTCAGTTTATGGGTATCCCCCCATTTTTTTTATCGCCCTCACAGCATCCCATATCCACTGTGGTGGGTATCATCGATGGACCTGCATGGACCAACCAGTACAGCATCACAGATTTCTGTTAAAAGATGTTCGCCCCAACCCGGACGTTGCTCCACACTGACAATCACCATGATCATAATCACATTAAAATTCGCCACCCCTATGAACAATAATTATGTTGACTGGGGTAATAACATCAACTTTATCTTCATAGCCACCTGAAGTCAGACGCGGCGCAACGTCAGGGTTGCAGCGAAGATGTTAAAGCACCAGAAACCGTTCTTGGGCTCCGAGCCACAACTCCAATCCTTTGCCTGGTAACCGTCAGAAATGTGGTAAAACCAATAATTTTCATCATCTCCCAAAATATGGATAATATAGATATATATATATATAATAATGGGTAATACATATGGGTATCCATACATAAATATAGTTATAATCCATCCTTTTCACCATTTGAAAATGAGTAGTTTCTGAACCATTCCCATGGTCCATTTTGTTGGTCGGTTAAAAAAACCGCAGTCCATATTGGTCGCTGAGTTGCGTGGTTGCAAAGTGCAGACCACTCTGCCGCCCTACACCTGCGAGCTGCACGGAGGGAGCAGCTTGGACGTGACAACTGGGCACCTGCTGGGTGAAAACATGTGGCAAAACCGCCAAGATGTATGAAACAAGTGCTGTTTTTTTGATGGGAGAACCTTGGTGTTTTGATGATTCTTCGAAGACCCTGGACAACATCTGGTAGTAGTTTTTTTTGTTGGATGTGAACATGTTTTATTTTGACGATGTCAATTGTCTTTTTGCGATTCGAATAGTTTTGTCATTTTTTGACGGCTGAATCTTCAGATCTCGCAGCAAACGCTTCGAGGCTGGGAGGAGTTGTGGTCCAAAGAGAAACAGGACTATTGCTGCACTCATTTCAATCAAGCTTGTGATCGCTTCGACTGCGACTACCTGCAGAGTTGCTTGGATGCTGAAATTTGTTTTGGCCAGTGAAGGAATGAATCTGACGATTTTCAAGTCTTCCGAAAAAGATGAAATTTGGTAAAACGTTTGTGAATTTTGATTCAATGACATCTTCAGGGAAAGTTAAGATTAGCCAAAATATGCCATTTACATTCCCATTCTATCCCCATTTTACTACCAACCAAACATCTAAATATTCAAAACATATTATGCCAGAAATCGTCATGAAAGCCAGATCCAGAGTGGTTTTCGCAGCCGTCCCAGCCCTTCGGCCCTTCGGTATCCAGTCTTCAGGTCATAGCAAGGAACTGTGGACGGAGGAGAAACAGTCCTGGCGCCTTGGATTCATATGGATGTAACATATGATACCCTCTGGTGAACTAACATAGCAATTGAACATGGCCATTTATAATGGATTTTCCCATTAAAAATGGTGATTTTCCATTGCTATGTTAGTTCACCAGAGGGTAAGGCATGTAGTTAAAGTTATGTTATATTAGTATTATAACTATCATGATATAACTATGATATAACTTATGATACTATGGATATAAGATCCCATCTGCTATATCCCATAGTATGATAACCGTTTTGTATTAACCATAGTGTAACTATGGTATGTTACAGTATGTTATTAATATATTATATATTATGGTAATAAATATATATATATATATCGACTATCGATATGTAACTATAATATTATAATATTATATGTTATTAATATTAATATTATAACTATTATCTGATATAACTATGGAAAGATCCACCATGTTTAATGGGTAAATCAACTATAAATGACTGGTTGGTGGTGAAAAGCTCTTGCCAAACTCAGTCGTGATGACCAAGCCCTCTGTCGTCTCAGTCTTGCTGGTTCCTTGTTCACTGAGAGCTACAAATCCAAATGGGCTGACCAGAATGATGCATGTCCCTGGTGCGGTCAGATTGACCACTTGCGGCATCGGTATTGGGAGTGTCCTCAACATGCTGACTTGCGCGCTTCGTTGGCCCCGGATGTTCTGCCCTTGTTGGACTCCATCCCTTCGGCACTTTCACTGCGTGGGTGGGCGCTTCACCCCCCTACTTGGGCTGATTGGATTTGCACTTTGCTCAGTCTGCCTTCGGAGCTTCCTTTGCCCATGTGTGGACTTTCTCCGGGCACGTGGAATCATGTCTTCACCGACGGGTCTTGCCTCCACTCTGCCGAACCACGGTATCGCTTGGCCTCCTGGTCTGCTGTGCTTGCCCCTGCATGTGATCGGCTTTGGACTCCTGGTTGTTTGACCGTCTTTGGAGCCTCGTTCCTCCCGGGTTTGTGTCAGACAGCCTACCGCTCAGAACTCTTTGCTGTGGCGTATGTTTTGCATTGGGCCGCGCTATTTCGTGCACCAGTTGTTATTTGGTCAGACTGCCGCAGTGTCATTCTGAAATGCTTCAATCATTTTTGGGGTCATCGTCGCATCAATGTCAACAGACCTCATTCTGATTTGTGGCAGTGGATTGCAAATTCAGTTGCAGTTTTGGGTACAGAGCGTATTCGTCTTCGCAAAGTACCTGCCCACAAGGATCCAGCTCACGCCCGCTCCTTGGAAGAGGCTTGGCAGAGTTTTCACAATGGCCTTGCAGACAAAGCAGCTAGGTTGGCCAACCAGGCCAGGCCACCGTGTTTCTGGAAGCAGTGGGAAAACCATGTGGAGGCCACACACAGAGCTGATTTGCTGTTTCAACAGGTTCATGCGCTGCACTTGGAAGTTGGACGACGGCAGGTGAAGTGTATGCCGGTTGCCACAGTGCCTGCAGCCCTGCCCAAGGAGACAAGAGTGTTTGTCAAAAGCTTTCACGCTGGACTTTGGGATGGCCAGGTACCGCCTAAGGTTGCGAGATTGTTTGGCTACAGTCATGCGCACAGAGCCGCCCAATGGTTACAGACGCGCCTTGTGACAGCCGACGATGATTCTTTGGTGTGGGTGTCATTTGTTCAGCTTTACATTGATTTTCACTTGACCTGGGGCAACCCAGGCCCATTGTCGGTGCAACAGCAATGGGTTGACGTTGAGCAGCGGCCATATCTGGAAGCTGAACGCTTTGCCTTCAGACAACGGATTCGCTCGTTCAGACGTTTCTTGAAAAACTTTTGGCAGGAGGCTGGACTCCACATTGCCCTAGAGCAGACCAAGCCGCACTCGCAGGTTGTGCAAGCATTCCTTCCTGCTGCTTCGCTCCCTTGGGACATGAAGGCGTTGCAGACAGTGGACATTTGGCTGATGCGACAGCTTGCTGGGCCTTGCGTTAGAGGGGGCGAGATCCTGTCTTCTCTGCCTATTGCTGCAAAGGACGTTTCGATGCAGGTCGACCTCCACTAAAGGTGCTGAGGCTGTTTACAGTGACTGAGGTGCATCGCTCCCTCTCTCTGAGCATGCGCATTGTCCGAAAATGTGGGAAAATGTGGTGGTTTGGAACATGTATATATATATATATATATATTCCATATATTGGGGATAATACTCCCATTTGACTAATATTTTCAGAGGGGTTGAAACCACCAACCAGAATATTATAACTATCATGATACAACTATGATACTATAGATATAAGATCCCATAATATCCCATGACATTATAATCATGGATATGACATACCATAATATCATAACTATTAGAATATAACTATATTGATATACTATAAACTGGATATATGGATACTATAACTGGACATATTAACTATGGATTGATATAACTACAGTTATTATACTTAGAATCCCCAACTCTGGTGAAATCTACTTATAACTGGAGCTGCACTTCTTCTGTTTGAATGTGTTTGAATGTTCACCGATGCGAAAAATGCTGGCGGTGGCACTTTGTGAAGTGTCCCTCCTATGATCCATCTTTCGGAATGGCCAGACCCCGCATAGATCTTCCCTGGCATCACGGTCCATGTTCCGCGGTGCCTTTGACTCAGGTGCTGTGACAACAAGAAGGTCGGTTGTGTCAGCTTCGACTGCAATGCTGATCATCTTGACGCACATGCAGCTCGCTTGAATCAGAGATGCAGCCCCACAACCGTGTCTTTGATTTGTCAGCACAGAAGCTCTACCAGGTGTTTATTTCATGAGGCATGTGGGTTTGTCTGCAGATAGGGTGTCCCAAAATCCATTGGTTTAGAAGCTCATTTTCGACCTTAAACGGACAATTTTGGAAAAGACGTCCCTCATTTTGGGACAAAAGCAGATGAGGCAATTACCATAAACCCACTGCAACCAGTCTTAGTTGGGAGCCGGACTGTTTTGGAGATGATCAGCAAACGTGAGTGATCCCTTTTGGGTACAGATTCTTTTCTGGGGTTAAACCTGGAGACACTCATGTTGTGGTGCTACGAAAGTGACTATATAATAACGCAAAAAACAATATTTTGTTCTGTTGAATGGGAGTGATTGTTGGTTAGGCCATGTTGTGCCCTGCCCTTTTTTGTTGTTTCGTTGCCACATGATGGTTGATTGATACCACCATTTTTTACACGTTGATTGCGATGGACCGAAGCATACAGGAGGCAGACTGGACCGCGGAACACAAGCAATGGTGCTGTGACCATGAGAAGAAGTTCTGCGCTGGGGAGGAGCGGGGAGGAATTGGTAATTCGCATCGCAGGAATTAACAACACCTTGTGTGGATCCAGTTGATGTCATGTGCTTGTGTGTATATATATATACATATGTAGATATGTACGTGTATAGATAGATATCATAGACCCTCTATACAGCGTAGTTAACATGTCCTGTGCCATCATTTTTTTTGAATGTAGTAATATAATGTAATATACTTGTTGTATGCTAGAACCTGCAGATGTCCGCACAATGGAGATGAGTACTGTTTTCTTTGCAGTTTTCCTTGAGATTCAACAGACTCCCCGATCCAAAACACTGACGTGACAGGCGGAGACATTCGAGTGCGACACCAAAGGCATTGGGATCTCTGCTGGTACGAACTTAGAAGTTTTTGATTAAACTAGGCTCCGGTTAGTAAACATAGCTATGGAAAATCACCATTTTTGATAGTTAAATAAATCATCACAAACACCCAAACATGAAGGTGGATGTGCACACAAAAAACATCAAAACTGTTTTGGCCACATGGGTATGGGTGAAAATAAATGGTCGGCTGGCAACCATAGATGTTGGCCATCGTATGTATTATTTATGTATGTATGATATATTCCCCCCCAAAGAACATATATATATAATATTGTCTATTATATGTATATACATATGATGATATCTATATGACATAGTGATGAAAATTGAAATTGGTACCCCACAACTCCAAGATGATCTTTCCACATGGCGAAAAAAAATCAGGCGGCTCATGGGAATCCTGGCCGGAGAAGGAAAAGAACTGGTGCTGCGATCACCTCTCAGTCCCCTGGAAACGAGGGGAATGTCGCACTTGTCGCACTGTGCCTGCGAAAAGTTGGGTCACATGATTTCAGATGGCTGGCTTGAAATAGTGACTATAGTGACTATAGTGACTATAGTGACTATAGTGACTATAGTGACTATAGTGACTATAATGACCATAGAAGGTGCAGAAGGATTTGATTTTTGGACCTGGTAACCCCTGGCCAGTGGGACCTCTGGCGAATTGCGAGAAATCCAACAGAATGTGATGGGATGATTACCTTCCGGTAATCCAACAGGGCTAGCTGGGAAATCCTCGAAAAATCGAGGTTTGTTACGATCAGTGGGATGATCCATCCCCCAGGTGCTGTCTGATGGTCAAAGTTGTTTGTTTCTGATTAGATACTACTATTCTAAGACTATTCTTCTTGTTATTTATTTATTTGTTTGTTTATTTATTTATTGTTGTTGGGATCATTGTCATCATTATTTGTTTGACTTGCCAAACAGATACCCAAACAGATATTGATATGACCAGATTTGACCAACCGACCAAGCCATGGACCATGATGGTACTCCCAGGTGGGCTGCAAGAGGTTTGACTGTGCACACCAAGTGGAGAACCTCAAAGAGGTGGGCAGAAAAACTGGGGCAAAAAAAGCGGCAATGTTATAGCGATGTTTAAGTGCTTAACCAACGACAAAAAAGGTAACTCAACCGTGAAAACAGGATGATTTCACCAACAATGGGGTCTAACCAAAGTGAGTTGGAATGAACTTCCAGATTTCACCAACAAGAGGTGATTTTTATAGAGTCAATATTGTAATTCAAGCTACAAGGTGGTGCCCCCAACATAGCTAAGTTGGTGAACATAACTCCAATAACTATGGTTTATAGGTGATGTATCTATAGTTAATGGGGTTTATAAATCAACTTATAACTTGGGGGCACCATCCTGTAGAAACGCGCCGAGCAGGAATGGAGTGGGGCCAAGAAAGACTTCTGCTGCCAAACGGCGGACGTGGGATGTCCTGCGGCTCCTGCAAGCACGACTCAAGCGCCTGGGATGTCAGCTGGGTTCCTGAAATGGGGGTACCTCCAAATCATCCATTTATAGATGGATTTTCCATTCGAAACGGATTTTTTTAGGGATAGCCCCATTTATGGAAAGCCGCAGATGTCAGATCACTTTTCAGATTTTTTTATTTCTACATCCAGATGACTATTTTTTTGGGAGGAACTCATGTGGTACCCTCTGGTAATTTAACATAGCTATGGAAAATCACCATTTTTAATGGGAAAACTCACTATTTCTATGGTCATTTTCAATAGCTATGTTAGTCATTACCAGAGGGTATATCCCATTAAATCCCATTAAATCCCATTAAATCCCATTAAACCACCATTTTCCTATGGTAAATCACCATTTTTCAGGGGGGTTACTGTAACCACCTGATGATTTCGATGCGCTGTAAATATGGCGGTCATCGGCAGCGAGGCGCTCTTCAACTGCCAGGAAGGTTTTGAGACCTGGGAGACGAGCTGGGAGGATTTGAAGAAAGGCCAGTCCCCATTCTGATGTTTTTTGGGTATTGTTTGTGGATGTTTATGATATATATGGTATATATATATATACACGATATATGTGTGATATATATATATATATGTACATATGATAAATAGATCTCTCTCATATAGATGATATATATATATATGATATATATATACACGATATATATGATATGTATCATATGATATGTTTGATATATACATATTATATATATATGAAATACACACATATATATATATAAATATGATATATATATATGATATACATGATATGTATCATATGTTATGTATGATATATACATACGATATAAATATGTGACATATATAAATATGATATATATATGATATGTATGATATGATACATATATATATGATATATATATAAATATATAAGATATATATATATGATATATATATATGATATATAAATATATGATATATATATATATATATATGTGATATATGTATATGATATATATATATATATATGATATATATGACATATTTTTTTTTTTTGGGCATGGTGTGCACAGAAGCGGACAATCGCTGCGACACTTAGCATTGAATTCTGGTCTTTGCCCTCCCGGGTCACCGCACTGCGCAATCTGCTCCGATATGGGTTCCCATAGTCGTGCACGTCATTTGACGGCAAAGCAGAAAAAATTGCTCAGGCAGGCTCCTCGGGTCCCCCTGTTCGGACACAGAGGGGAATGTTGTGAGATGGCGCAGAAAGCTTTCTGCAAGGGCTTTGCACAATGCTGGCGGGTATTCTTTAAGGACTGCCGTCCGAAAGTGGCCCGCCTCGTCCAAGCCGATGGTGGTGTGCTTGGGCAGCTCCTTGCAGACCGCGTTGTCTCGCAGGTCGAAGTGCAGGTAAGGCAAGATATATATATATATATATCATATATATATATATCATATATATATATATGTCACATATATAGATGATATATATATACATGATATTTATATATGTATCCGATATCTATGTATATGGTATATATGTATATGATATATATGTATATGTTTTATACTTTATATATCCTATATATATATGATATAATATATATATATATATACGTGATATAATATATATATATACACGATATGTATATATATACACATGCTCTATGTATATATATATATATCCAGGGTATTTACATAGATATATGATATACATATATTAATTTACATATATGATATATATATATATATCACATATCTATCCATCTATCTATCCATCTATCTATCTTTCTGTCTGTCTATCTATCTATCTATCTATCTATCTATATATATATACACATACACCTATCCATAGCTGACTGGGTTTATAAACAAACATAAACTCGGGGGCTCAGCTTGTTCACACCTCACAATGCAACAGTTGGAGAGGCTGGTGTTGCCAAACGGAAGGAAAGGCCTGCAAGCCTTTTAATTGTGTGGCTTGGAAGATTTTCATTCAAGTTTATGCATCTGTACGATCTGAAATCGGTCTGCCGCTGTTACAGAACTGGATGATTCTTGTCCCGCAGAACTGGAAGTACAGGAAAACCGCATTTATTTGCGCAGAACTATGGTTTTCATTGGTTTCCAGCATTTCCTGAAACCAACCAACTGATGGTTTTCTTTTCGCACGACGTGTTTCGCTCTATGCGTTTCGCTCACGAAGTGGGCGATTCTGGATCTAAGGATTTTGGGCACAGCAAGGAGTGGCCAAGCCTCAAACAAGACTGGTGCCTTTTTTACGGCATCGGCACAGAAAATCAGCGGCCAACAGCCACCAATTCATACGTCCATTTAGATCCACAAGATGGTGAAAGGTTGGCAATTCAGCCCTGTTTCATTGATATGTTCAAGAAAAAGTGGGCTCCAGAATTAGCAGTGTCTCCCATTTCTTCTTTACTTTTGTCTCATACACGAAAAAACAAAACCGATAAAACAGCTACGAGCTGGTTGATGAAGCCATTTAAGTATAGATTCATCCACCATAAATCCACTTTACTATAGATTCACTATAGATTCATCCACCACCAATCCACGTGGTATCCAATTTAAAAAAAAACCCATCGAATCCCCGAGGTGCTGCATCCAGGAGGAGAAGGGATGCACCACGACCACCACAACGACTTTGAGTCTAACCTTCGACTGTGCAGCTGGGCTTGGAGAATGTTTGGTGAACTGGATAGGCTAGATATATGGCTATGGATCAATACCTATTAATATGGGTATACCCATTAAAACAATAGCCATTTATAGTGGATTTACCCATTAAAAATGGTGATTATCCATAGTTATTATGGATCAATACCTATGAAAATAGCATTTTTAGTGGGATGAAGATCCATAAATCCCAGCTATGACTTGATGTGAACAGAAGGGGGTACGATTACTATTGGTTTTGACACACTGCCATATGATAGGAATAACTGGTGATGATAGGCTAGATATCACTTATGAAAACCCCAAGAAATCCCAACTGATAGGCTGATAGGCTAGATGACTGGTGATCTGGGATTTGTTGGGTGAAAATTGACAAGTCCAGGAATGTCCAGGAGAAGGCCCGGGATTTTTCTGATGTGAAGCTCTGGCTGGTTGCAGCCTTGTTGGGCTGGCGCCTCTTCCAGCTTAGGAGTCGGGCCAATCCAACTGGCACCATGGCTGGTCGGATG